GGCGCATTCCTGGGTCCTGGTTATGGTTGTTTTGGATGTGCCAAATCAAGGTTAAGGTTGTATTTGTATGTGATCAGTGGGAGACAGGGAAAGGAAGAAAAATCAGACGAGGGAAGAGAGTTTGTGATGGGCGAGAGGGGAGCTCTTTTTGTAGTAGTATGGATAGATAGCGCCCATGACTGTTTGGGGGCCGATGTCTGTGCAGTCCAAGGGGCACCAAACAACTTGGGAGCCCCTGCATTTTCTTTTAATTATCTTCGATGCCCCCCAGAAAGGATGGAGGGGCATCAAATAAGACATTTAAGGGCCCTTTTGGTAAATTGTGCCCCCTTAGGGAGCCCTATTGGTGCCCCTGAGGTCCGAGGGTGTGAAATTAGCGTGAAAAAGTTCGAGTATCGACGGACCGCGCGGGTATTGGGAAAAACTCGAGGGGCGCCGGATATCAGCCAAAGGGGCGCTAAATAGTGGGATCCTTTTTCTTATCTTTTCTTTTTTGGTCTTTTTGTAAAAACTTTGTAAGTAAAGTATAATGATCTTAAGAATATATTTGAAATAAGATGACACAATATTGAGTTAATAACTACACATAAGCCTCTAAGAGTTTCAATTGATCTAAAAACCTTCATTTCGAATTTTCTACTACACTGAAGTTTCCTAATAATTTGATAAAGTTATAGTGATTAATTTTCTTGATTGATCCCATAAATAGATCACCACAACATTGACTTGCTACAAGGATATTTACATGGTGTTTACATATATCCTTTGTTACATTGGTCTGTGCTTCATCTTCCTCAATACCTGTGGCCATATCGAGTAGGTCTTTCATGTTGTCAATCATTTTGACTTCATGATTTCTGTGAGGAGTGCGCGTCTGTTGGGTGTCCTCTACACTGATCCTCTAAGAAGAGGATTTTAGAAAGAGAAGAGAAGACTAAGGTAATCAAGAGCTAGTGCACTCTCACATTGTGAGACTGCAAGGGGCAGGCTTCACACTTTGGTAAACCAAAGATCCTGAAGGCTACTTCAGACTCCTTAAAAAGGAGGAAGCTTTGCTACTTTAAGGTTTATTTCTAGAGACAATGAATGCCCTGGGCTTGTAGACATTGGTACCTTGGGTGTTCAGAAATGGAACCCGTAATTCTAAAGAATGGTCTTTAACAAACTACACAACTAACCATGTATTCAAAGATCCTCTCAATAGGAGTCAAGTAAATGTGGTTCTGTGTTGTGATGGTAGTAAAATATGTGGAATGATTCTAGGGAAGAAGGGGGGGTTTATATAGTCTCAGTTCCAGTGTCAACTTGTGGTTGGTGTGTGAGTCTTGTCTATTCACGTGTCAGCTTGTGGTCGATGTTTGGGTTAGGTTTATTGTGTATTAAAACATCACATACACCACGGGGGCACCCTGACCACCAAATGGTTGTCCCAGCCGGCCACCAGCAGACCACCAATCATTGCGGGGAGACTGACGGCCTGCGGGTAGCCAGTTTGGCGACAACCGTGTGCCAAACAAAAGGAGGCCTGGCCGCCCAGCATGAGGGCGGCTTTGTCACGCCTGAGGTTTGGCCTTGCGCAACCCTTTGACGGTCAGCAGGCTATGTTCAAAACCCAAAGAGACTCATTCCCTTGGGGCCAAACCCCATTGCGCCTCATCCGCGCTGGCAATTCAATTGGGGCATGAGCAGCTGTGACGATCCAACACGGTTCATAGAGGGCGTACAGTGGAGTGCATTACTAGGGGGGGAACTCAAACAGTGGAAGAAACTATTGTATTGAACAAATGACTGAATGGAGAGATCATTGAAAAAGAAATGAAAACATTTTTTGGAATTTCAATATGATTGAATTCTGATTGATTTCTCTGTCAATTGTGGCAAGATTCCAATCATCAACAAAGGAATAACAAAAAATGATCAAAAAGGAAACAATCTCCTCTTTCCCATCCTTTATCTAGTCCCAAGAAATCTCGAGTTCTACAACATGATTCAAAAAGAATTAAATCGGAAGTGTTTTTTTGGAATAAATCAAATTTTTACACAGAAACTGTTAATCAAACTACATACTTCAAATCATTCAATCTCTCCTCATCAAATTTTGTCTCATATTGAAGAATATCAGTATTGGAAAGCGTTTTGTTTACAACCCGCACCTTCACAACAAAAACAACCAAGGAGAAGATTTGAAAAAGTCTGTTTGTTTCCTATTTAACCAAAATTTTAGACCCAGCAAGATTATTTGAAACATGTAGGACTGTAACTGGTCTGCAAAGAGCCAAAACTTAAAGCAAAAGGAATGAACAACGGTTTAATTTTCCTTTGCTTTTTTGAAAATATAGATCAAGAGACTTTACGGTTGTATGTATCCTGGTTGTACCAAAGCATATGAAACATGAAATCATCTTAATGCACATGTCTTGATGCAAAAGAATGGTAGAGAACGACTTCCAGAAGCTCTGTCTTCTTCCTTACCATGACTTATTACTTGATCCAAAATCAACAGTTCATTTTTTCAATAGAATTTGAAGAGGTTAGGAGAGAGTGGAGGTGAGAATACAATTTAATGGGAATACAAAAGAAGATAGGTGAGGGCTTGAAACTTGTTAAAGAGCATTGAAACACCTGACTTACTCACACTTCTCTTCTTGGTTCCTGGGAAATCGATTATTGTACGCAACAGGAATGGATGAATCTCCCTTGAAAGATGAATGCGAAATAGTTGAGAGTAACTGCTTACGCCTTAGTGTATAGAGCCCTCGACACACAACTTGTGGAGCGAAGGTAATTGAGAGCAGTTGAAAACTGTGAAGGTGACTGAGAAGTTATAAATTCTTCAAAAGACAAAAACTCAAACTTGTGGATGATGCTTGGGGGGGAAACCAAAGGAGTGGGCATCTTGTATCTCAAGACAGCACGCGAGAAAGACCAGAACCCAGGGGGGAGCACGCGACACAAGAAAAACTTGTACGCAGGGGACGCTTTGCGAAGTCTGTCCTGCCCTGTCCTGCATGGCTCAGCAGTCAGTTTTGGGAAGGTGCCGCGCAATACCGACTGCTGGCCAAACAGGCCGCCTATGGGTCCGCATGGCGCGACTACTAGTCAGGCTGCAGGATGTTCTGGGCTCAAACAGGGGCGGCCAAGGAAGGCCAGCCCGGGGTGGCCGTCGGTCTACCCAGGGGCGAGCTTTGGGTCAGAATATGATCCGACGTTTTTAAGACTATTCAGGATCAACTTCTGACCCAGGATCCCCCCGTGGTGTACATGTGTTCAAGTGGCTCTTGACACTGAGCCTTGGGATTTAGCTTAGGGCTTTAGAGCATCTCCAACACGCCCCAATCTGAATGACTAAATGTTACATTTATGTCAAAAACCCAATTTGCTGACCTGGCCAAATATTCTGAATCCCAGTATCCCAACCTATCCCAACGGTCTTTGACCGATTGATGACTAAAATTATTGTCCATACGTCGAACTCATTACGTATTGTGATAATAAGATTGGTAGGTGGCTGCTCACGTCTGGACAAAAAGGGACTTTGGGTGATGTGGGTTGAACCTCAAGAGGTATTGAGCATGAATCTCAGTAGTGCGCTGGAGGGCGCTGTTGCTGAATAAAAAATACAGCTGTCCAGCCAAGGAAATAAATTACCTGTATATGTTTTTGGATTCAGCCACACTGGAGATGCTCTTATACAATATTTTAATATTACATATGGTACTGTCAGCCCATGGTCCTGTGATTAGGGCTCAGGGCTGACAATTTCAATTTACTGATCTCATATACTTGGTTTTTATTCAATCCCCCCTTGTCTGCAGATTGTGCAATCACAGAAATGAAAGTTCTGTGCATTGAGAAACAAAAGAAATTTCTCAGTTGGCAAGTGCTCATTGGGGGGTATACAAACAAGGATGATTGAAAACAAAGTCTGACCTTTCTCCAACCATATTCATATAGGTTGATCACACCATCATAGTAACCATTGACCATGTAAATATCATGTCTCTTGGCATCATCTATTTTAGTGTTCTTAAAAATTTCTTTTTCTCTTGGTTCTTCAGCAGTACTCTTTTAATTACATCTTTCCTATTATTGTAGTATTCCTATTATTGCAATATATGTATGTAGTATTTACCAATGCAAAGAGTAGATGACTTATGTCACATACCATTTTGTCAGCAAAAATCTCAAAAGCCCAATTTGAGACTCCCTACCAAGTATGAATAAGGCAGAATGGGCACTGAGGTGGGTCACTCATCCTTTCATTGGGTGAGTAATTCTACGCTGTTGTCAAGTCAGATAGCTTGCATCATTCTGATGTAACATGGCCCACATTGTTATGAAGTAAGCCATAACCTTGAGTATATGTGGTCACATGGGGTGAAGCAGGACCCCAGAGAGCTCCTGTAGAGATGCATGATGCAAAAGATGTTATTTTCTCATGTTTGGTTTGAATTGCTGTGTCACAACCTCTACACCACGTTAAAAACTCTTCACACTTGTGTAGGTATGGATTTCGAACTTAACAGAGTGTTTTGCTCCTGGCTGGGCATTGCTGAGGCAGGAGCAAGGGATTTGGTCAAGTTTTTATGAACTTAAACTGTGGTGAAGTGTGTGTAGTGCAGGAAACAAAATTACATCATGCACCCCGATGAAAGCTCTCTGGAAAGCTCACGCTGGCTGGCACGTGTAGCTCACAGCGGGTATCACAGTGTACTACATAGACAGCGCGTGTTTTATTGGCAGAGTCAAAATCCACGTGAGCTTCACGTGCCAGCTACCCCGTGGTGTAATATTTGGAATGAATAGTACCCGACGTCATCAGTCACTACCTTAGGTACCTACTCCAATTTCGGTTTTGAGAGCTTTCTTGGTGATAACGGTTTTCTGCACATAAACAACATTTCTCACAACCTTCCTGATCGATGGAGAATACCAAAATCAATCCTCGTCAGGTAGCAGTTGCTATACCATTTCGTCGTTCTCCTGGAAAGTCATCAGAAATGACAGACTTTCTTTTAGTTTCTTCAAGAAAACATTTAGATTCTTGGATTTTTCCTAAAGGTCAAATCGAAGTTGATATAGATGGAAATCATTCAGGTAGATCTGCTTTACGTGAAGCTTGGGAGGAAGGTTTGTTAAAAGATTACTTCAGATTTATTTAACGACTTTGGCGTCTTTTTCTTTACTATCTGTCAGTTTTTTAACGATCTCCTTGACTTGGTTTTTTTTGTCAAATAGCTGGAATCCGTGGAAAAGTGATTCGACAGCTACACCAATCTCAAGACAAAAAACCACATAAAAAATCAAGTTCGACTTCCACACACTTTATTCCAAGAGCAGAATATACATTTTGGTTAATTGAAGTGATTGAAGAATTAAATGAATGGCCAGAACGATTAGAAAGAGAAAGAAAATGGGTTAAAAGAAAAGAAGCTTCTGATTTAGTTTCTTGGCGTCAAGATGGACAAGTTGAAGCTTTGAGTAAGGTTTTGGATTCGGAGATATGTGGGTTGAATAGTGAAGGTGAAACGGTATCTGCGTCATATACAACGTGTTGAAGAACGACTCAAGCATATATATCTATTATCCTCTTCGGCACTGTTATTACATTATTTTCCGATATGTTAATTAAAGACGAACCCTGCCAATGGTCAATTGTAAAGTTTGAAATTAAATGTGGCAACGTGTTTTATCAGGACTCGTGCGTCAAGGCCTGAAAAAGATGTTATAATCTTTGTCCAGCGTGATGATGGGGGTCGATTGATCATTGAAGGGTGTGTTAAAGGCTACACTGATATAAGATGCTTTACTCATGGGTGATTGAATACATGATTACTAGATTATGACTATCAGGTAATGATAAGATAAAACGATGCTAAATGAGAGAGAAAAATAAATAGCCCGATAGGAGGTGTACCACTTGAACATAAACCAAAATGCGAAGATAAAAAAAAGTCCGAAGTAAAACAAAAGGGCTGCAAGAACTGAAACATAATACACCGTGAAATATAAAATGAAATGCTTTGGTGAGAAGGAAAAGGTATCAGCAGGGGGAATATGATGAAGCCCATGAGGAAAGGTTCAAAGGGACAAGAGGCCCTTCAGTAAACCCAATAATCCACCGTCGGAAACATCCACAATCCTGAAATCATAACCTTTTTGGAAATTGAACCAAGAGACGTTGATGAATCGAGGAAGTTGGTCCTTGGCGGCGATGATTTGCTTCAACCAGGAGATTCTGTCAGCTTTCGAACCTGCGTATCCCAGTCTATAGAAAATGTACGTATGTCAGGTTTTCTGCAAAGGCTCGAGAGGCAAACAATTTCACATACCCGATTTCACCAATGGCAAACATCCTACCGTCTACAGCATACTTGTCATGGAATCCTTTCATGGTATCGACGAACTCAGTACCGGTGGAGATTGACTTTGGGTAATAGTCAATTCCGACAAGATCAACAGTGGACATGTCATCCGGAGCGTAGCTAGCATAGCTGGAGTCTGCTGCTACATTTGGAGTCCACCACATCTTGACCTCAGGTGCGATCTTCTTACAAGCCGCTGCTACTGCTGCCCAGCCTGCCTTGAAGTCGTTAGCATTGCCAACGTATGTACCATCGGTTTGATAGCTGCAGTAGAACATTGAAAGTGAGCATGCGAGTCAAGGAAGGATTATCCATGTGTCAAATGGACTCACTAATTCATCTCATGAGCAAACCTCAGCCACACAGGAATGCCCTGATCAGTGAATTTCTTCATAACTTTGGCACTGTGAAAGTAGCAGGTGAGTAGATAGCAAAAAGATCGAAAAAGTTAGTACATTTGAGAAGAAAATGTATCTTGAATAAATCCGGAAAAACGCACATCGCAATTGCTTGACTGTTATCAGACTCGGTGAGGCCTTCCCATCCGCCAATAGGCATCACGGCTGGTTGGAACACGCAATTACAAGCTTTGACGTCTTCCATAACTGCGAGAAGTTGTGATCCATCGAAAGGAGTTCCACTATGTGCTTGAGCATACCAGCCATAGGCAGCTGACTTGGTACCAACGGCCTCGTTGATTTGAGCCATAGTTGTTCGGCTACCACCGGCGTCACCTTCGTCAGGCAAGAACCCAATACTAGAGAAAATAAGATGGATACAAACCATATCAATGGGCCGTCTTGTACGTTGTGATTTTTCTTTGTGTAATTTTGACTTACTAGACATTGTTTGCGGTGAGTTGGCCAGGTACTAGGCCCATTAAGGTATCAGGAGAGCTTGAGTCGTGCGTTTCGGAACTGGTTGAGTTGACGCTGACATGTCCATTTAGTTGCTTGGTGATAACTTTGTAAGAAGTCTTAGTTTTCTTCTTGTTCGAGACATAGCAGCTTGTTTGTTTGCCTCTACGATGTTTACGGGCTGGGAGGATAAGAATTTTAATGTACAGTTAGCTCTTAACTTCACTGAAGACCTCAAGAATTTGAAAGGAATAATGAAGGATCTTACCATGATGTCGCCTGTGATTTCGACTAGCGATGGTATGAGGGGATATTTCAGAAGAGGCCGCGACGGCTTGCGCTGCGGACAAGAAGGTGCTGAAGCTCAAGCCCAGAACAACGATTTGTAATGTAAGGAAAGAATGCATGTTGTTGATGATAGAGTGAAGAGGAAAAAAAATGGAAGAAGGGTCAAATGAAGATGTGTGATGCGGTTTTGCTGAGTGATAAGAAGTGTGACTATAATGAGGGGTAAGTTGATTGCTAAATGCGGTTTAACAGCTTAAGGAAGATTCTGCAGAAAAAGGTATTGTTGTTGTGGAAGGCAGAGCGAAAAGCACACGGTTTGAGAAGAGGTTGAGCTTTATATGATCCCTTTCAAAGGGTAAAATGGTCTGATAATGTGAAGCTGGGCGGAACAACGTCCTCAAATATGACCTGGGCAAATTTGGCTTGCCAAAAAGCAAGTGATGTTAAATCTATAATGAAAAAGGTGCACCAGGGCCGACAATGTGGATTCTTGGTGTGAAAGAAAATGTGATGGTGGAGTGTAAGGGAGAACCCGGTCCAGGTCGTCCTGCAAATCAAGTCGAGAAGATAGAGTGAGGAACTATGGTGAATTTGGCTTCTTTGAACACAATGATCAAATTTACTCACCTTGCAAGTCAATTGCTTTTTGGGTACAAGGTAATAAACAGTTATCGTTCTATAATCAACGTCAACTTGCGCTGCATCTTCTCAAGTTGGTCGTCCGGTGAGCATCATCGGAGTCTATGTATTTGGTCTGTGTTTATTGTTTTCGAACCGGTTGAGACTTTTATGAGCTGTTTAACTCACCCCTCGTACAAGGAGTAGAGACAGCCTTTTGTGACTTGAGCTAGTCACCGTCCCGAGTGCAAGCTGGACTATGTGTGTCAAGGGTGTTATCAAGCACGGAGGCTGGCGACGCGGAAGCCGATAATTTTGTACCAAGCAAATATAATGTCAGCCAACCTTGCTTCCTGCCTGATCTAAGTGCGTTAGTCCTGACCGATAACTTGTGATACAGCGTCACTGAGATTGCCGTCGGCTGCAGTGTTTATATGCTCTCGAAAACTCGTTTGCAATAGTGGAATCGAGACACCCTGGCTACATTGTTAGGTGTGTAAAAGTGATGCATATAAGCCTCCAGCAATCATGCCAGCGACAAGTTGAGTTTTAAACTGATGACCTACCGCGATCGTGGTTGTAGACCCAAAGCTTTCTGACGGTAAACAGACAATGCATCAGGATGCCATAGCGCTTTCCAGGAAGCTGGTCTGACCAAGAGTACACTTACTAATTTCAACAATTGCCGTACCTGCCCACGATCACCGTTGTTTTGTTGTGGAAGTGTCTGTCTGCAATTGTCAGCGAATATTTGCTTGGCGTTTGATATAATCAATTATGAGGTGAGCCTATCGCTTGTAAAGGATGGGCACGATGACAAGATTGAGTCGAGCGAACTAATGAGAGGGTTGCGAATTGGTATTCTCAAAACAGCAGCAATCTCACCAAACTTTGGAGGTCTGGCACCGTTGGAACCGGGTGTTAGTATAAATGAGAATCATCTGAAGACTGTGAGTGAGATGGTCCTCGCAATTTCTCAAGGTCACTATACTATTGCCCAGGTATTTTATCGCTGCCAAGCAGACAGCTCTAGTGCATACAATGAGAAATGGCAAATAGGAGATATGGTGTAAAAGTTTCAAAATGACTTCATGGTTTTTGAGAAGACAAGATCGATCTAAGAGTATCCACAACGCTGTCACCCAATTCCTTGGTTGTCACTTTTCCCTTGAGGTCAGCCGTCCTCAAACCCAGTCCACCCTCGGTCTCGTCGTCTAAGACCTTTCTCACGGCCGATTCAATGGCTTCGGCCTGCGAATCAAGAGCTAAGGAGTATCGCAGCATCATTGCTACCGAGAGGATAGTCCCAATCGGATTTGCGATACCTTGTCCAGCGATGTCTGGTGCCGAGCCATGAATTGGCTCATATACACCGAGGCACTTGGAACGGCGATCGGGAATCCCAGCCAAAGAAGCCGAAGGCAACAAGCCCAAGGAACTCGGGATCACAGAGGTCTCGTCACTCAAGACATCTCCAAACAGGTTTTCAGCTTCAAACGAATCGGAAGACGCAGCAAGGAGAATATGTTAGCCTGTCGGCCCTCAAGAGTCATGGGGAGTACTTTGAAGCTACTCTGGACACTGACTTAATACTATACCGTTCAATTTTCGCGGGTTCGAGCAAATGACCATCGCTGCTGAGTCGACGAGGTGATGATCGAGTTGGAGTTGAGGAAATTCAGTGGAGAACAGATCGGTGATTACTTTTCGCCACAGTCGCGAGGTGGCCAGAACGTTAGCCTTGTCAACCGAGTGAACCGCCATTGGTGGGGTAGTCGTCATGGCCAAAAATGCAGCGACTCTACCGATTCGCTGGATTTCCTTCACGCTGTAACTACATTCATCGCGAGCTACACTAGCCTCGCCTCCATCTGCCTCAAAAGAAGTGGCTTCGGTGCGTTTACCAAAATATATACCACCGATTAGCTCTCGGACGACGATAATCTCAGTACCTAGAGCAACCTCATCTTTCAGAGGTGACATCTTCACTAATGAGTTTGATGGGAAAAGAGCCGGTCGGATGTTGGCATACAAGCCGAGAGTTTTGCGAAGTTCGAGTAAGCCTTGCTCAGGTCGAATCTTGCCAACACCCCATTTAGGACCGCCCACAGAACCTAATCAGGTAGTTCGGATATCACGAAGTCATTCAAAGTCAACAAAATGTGGTGACCACATATCAGAATCATTTTTACAAAGAAAATCAATCTTGTAAAGCAAATTGCAAGAAGCAGGAGTTCAGCACCTAATAAGATCGCATCGGCTGATTGGCAAGCCTCTAGCGTCGATGGCGGCAAAGGAGTTTGATGATTGTCGATGGCAATACCACCGAAGTCGTGGGCCTTCACATCGAACTTGACTTGACCAGATTCCGAGATCACGTCTAGCACTCGCACAGCTTGTTCCACCACCTCAGGACCTATGCAGAAGAAACCACGACGCATACCAATCAAGTTCAAGAAGACCACAGGACTTCATGAGCAGAGGTCCTCACCAATCCCATCTCCTGGCAATGTGACAATTTTGAAGATTTTGGACATATTGTTTGAGTTGTGTCAAGTGAGATCGTTCGAGAGCTTGCGTTGAGAGGGGGATAGATGCGGCTGGCTTTTGCGAATGGACTTTCGGAGTCTAAAAAAAGTCTTGTCCTGGGTAATTTGCAAAAATTATTATAGAGGTGTGTACATACAGATTGTACATATACACCTCACAGGACTGTGAATCGTGATTGTTCAACAACTCATGAGTGACATTGACTCCAAACTTAACTAAGTCCCAGTCTGGACCTAACCACCAACTCCAGAGAGGGACTTACGCGCTATCTCGAAATTCTGGCGTGAGATCCCTCGGTACATCGCTCTTTTTTCTTGCATCACCATTTCTCGCGAAGTACCATTACCAACCTCCCATAACCTCATAATGAAAAATGAGCGCATGCTTCTCAACTAAAACGGCCCGCTCTCAAAATTTCCTTATCATAATTCGTTCTTATATTATCCCAAAAAAGGTAAATGGGACATCCACCCGGGCCGTACAGGACATTCAAGAGAACTGCGGCGACCAAAACCCAAATTTGCACTCAAAACACCAAAATCATTGTACTAAACCTTGAAATAGTTTTAGACAAACTGCTGTTCTGACTGAAACGAGAGAATTTCGATAATTCCACGAAACGACACTTCTCATCGCACCATTATACCCAATCCTGATGGTTCTTTATCCAAGGTCTGAGATCGATTTGTTGTATTCAACGATGTTGAAGTCGATTGAAAATGACAAATACAGGGATTGAAATCTATACCAGGTAAGTATCGTGGCCCGATCTGAAGATCAACAGAACGCTTGACTTCACTCGATTATGCTTGCCAATGACATAATGAAAAGTCGACCTTGATGGCGTACAGTCTAACCTAACTAAGTCCCTCTCGGACGAACGAGTAGTCGAGAGAGAGACTTATAGCTTATCCACAGATTTTGGCGTGTGAGCCTGTGGACCTTTGGCTGGGGCACTTTTCAATCTGATACACAGCATAATCCTGCTTACAAAAATCCTCCAGACCCAAGAAATGCACCCTTCTCTGAATTGCCCTACATACACCTGTGCCAGTCTCACCCTCCTAATCCAAATGGATACTGAGTTATTCAAGCCCAATTTTTTGGGAAATTGCATCCTCTGTAACTTGCTGCGGAGGCGTCAGAGAGTCTTCTACTCCTGTCATTTGAGAAACTCTCAAATTTTCCTTCGATCTCTTCAATTGATTTGAATGAATTTGGAAGGGAGAGGACATTGAGTGAATAGCACTCGGTTTTGACTTTGAGATCTTTTGAAACCTATCCATACCAGAGGATTCCTCATACGAGTCTCTACACTTTCCAACCTCAACAGGGGAAGCCTCAACGCCTCGCAATTTATAAGTACATCGATTCGATAAATCTGAATAGTTGCTCGTGATCATTAAGCTCCAAAGGAGTCACCATATTTACGTAATTGACAGCTTCGAGATAAAAATTCCTCATTTTTGCCCAACCTGTCAAACTTGTTGAAAACTCGCAGCAGCCACACTGGAAGTTTACATGAGACTGGATTTTTTCAATCAATATCTTGATGACCTTCCTGGGGGTGAGTGTTTATGTAGAAAACCCAGTGTATGTAGGACAGCTCACAGAACAATCCATTTCTTGGGTCCGGGGGATTTTTGTAAGCAGGATTATGCTGTGTATCAGATTGAAAAGTGCCCCAGCCAAAGGTCCACAGGCTCACACGCCAAAATCTGTGGATAAGCTATAAGTCCCTCTCTCGACTACTCGTTCGTCCAAGAGGGACTTAGTTAGGTTAGGCGTACAGTATCGAATCTTGAGTGTTGATTGTTTGAGTCGTCGAACAGAATTCCTGTGAGAAACTAAAAAGACAATATTATCATTAGATGAAAAGCTTCAACTTGTTCTATTCTTGATTCATTGCAGAATTGATACAAAGAACCTATGTTCTTTTTATCAAAAATTATTGCTTTCTTTCTCAGGCGGATGAACTTAGCATCTGCGCTTACTACCCTTGGTGACAAGAAGTGGAATAGATATAGCGAGTGGCGCATTGCTTTTGTGGTCAACAAAGATCAATGCTGACCTTTTGACATGATGTTGTTTGTTGAGCAGGCTGTCGCCCAACAATGCATTCTTTTTAAGACTCTTGGCGAGCAAGAACTGTTGTTTGGTCGACTCATAACATTAATTGAGGAGACGCAAACCTTTCTGACGCGCAGCATCAGAATGACGTGTGTAAGCTTTTGGCCCCGGTGGATGTCCCAGTTCCTTTTTTTGGGATAATATGAGAACAAATTATGATAAGGAAATTTTGAGAGAGGGCCGTTTTAGTTGAGAAGCATGCGCTCATTTTTCATTATGAGGTTATGGGAGGTTGGTAATGGTACTTCGCGAGAAATGGTGATGCAAGAAAAAAGAGCAATGTACCGAGGGATCTCACGCCAGAATTTCGAGATAGCGCGTAAGTCCCTCTCTGGAGTTGGTGGTTAGGTCCAGACTGGGACTTAGTTAAGTTTGCATTGACTCTGTTCTACAAACTCTCTCTTCAGCCAAACTTACAGCTGTTGTGAGAATCAATGGTAATTTTTGTGATAAATGTGTTGCGTCCGATTTTAACTCGGCAGGCAAAAACCCGTTCAAAACCTAGTTTATGACTCAAACTTTGTCAATACCCATGCCAGTATGTTGACAGCTGTCCGACTTCGAATTGAACATACCAGACCTTCGGCCCGCATCCTGCCATGTTTTTTAGCGGATCTGATCCTTTCATGTGTCTCTCCCTTCTGTAGTGACAGAATCTCAGGTGAGCACTCTGTGGACTCTCTCGATGTTCCGGCTCCAATGGTATGGATTGCAGACATAGCACACAACACGTAAATGGAAGAGAAACAAGATAAGAGATGCTAACCTGTAGTGACAGAATCTCAGGTGAGCACTCTGTGGACTCTCTCGATGTTCCGGCTCCAATCACTACACCAAATGTAATCTTTACCGGGCGGTAAAGAAAACTACTGACATAGAAAAGTCCTGAGGAAACAGGAAGAGAGCTAAAAATCTGAAAAAATATGCACCTTGTTCCTAGATCTTGGGGCGTCATGATGAGTATTTTTTTGTATTTTACACACAGATATTGGTTTATGTACTAACAATAAACGCTGAAAATCATCAAAAACTCACATGTAACAATACCTGAAATTTGGGTCATGAGTATGAAGGCAATATTTTGTGGTCTAAAAACTTCAATAACTTTTGCAATTCTGCTCCAAATAACTCGATTTCTGGTTCATTCAAAAGCTGAACTATTCTCCTTCACACTTCATAATGCTAGTAAGGTGCTATCTAGTCATTTAAACACTCTACATATGTTCAAACAGTTCTGCATGAATAGCTCTGTAGGAACTTTTTTAGACCAGCTACAGATGTGATGTCTCAATGAAAAATGTAGAGGAAAGGCTCACCTTTTGAATGCACTTCAAATCGAGTGATTTGATTCAGAACCGCAAAAGTTATTGATGTTTGAAGATTCCAAAATCCTGTCTTCAAAGTCAAGGGCCAAATTTCAGGTATTGTTACAGGTGGGTTTTTGATGATTCTCAGCCTTTATTGTTAGTACATTAACCAATATTGGTGTGTGAAATACAAAAAAATACTCGTCATGACGCCCCAACATCTAGGAACAAGGTGCATATTTTTTCAGATTTTTAGCTCTCTTCCTGTTGCCTCAGGACTTTTCTATGTCAGTAGTTTTCTTTACCGCCCGGTAAAGATGACATTTTGTGTAGTGAATGGTGGAGAGCCGGAATATCGAGGAGTGGTGCGACTATAAGATAAGACCCCAAACCTAAGCCCCGAGCTTTGTCGTAGACGTGGCCCCACTTCTCATGCCTAGCCACCTATGGCCTCTGGCCATAACACCCCCCCCCACGGCAAGACAAAGCCTATCCTCTCAGAGAAACAGAAAGAAACAAAGAAAGAAACAAAGACGAGCAAGTACAACACAAGACAACCACAACAAAACAAACCAAACTCAAACTCAAAACATCACAATCATCTACGCACTCCCAACTGTTCCCTAGCTTCCTTGAATTTCAGAGGACCTAACGCTTTAGTAAAGGTGTCTGCCAATTGTTCACTTCCAGGAATCCATTCTAGATCGACTTTCTTTTTGTACAGTTGTTCGTTGATGTAGTAGAATTCCCTCTCAGTATGACGGGTTCTTTTGTTAGCTGCGTTGTCCTTCGAAACATGTATTGATGATTTGTTGTCGCCCAGTATTAACGGAGTTCCAATTTGTGGGATAATATCTTGAATAAGAGATTTCAGCCAGATAGTATCCCTACATGCAGCACCAATGGCCATAAACTCGGCGTGGCACGTGGATGTTGCCACACACCCTTGGTGTCGAGAGACCCATGCAATTGGTATACCGTACAATCTTGTCACGTGGCCATAAGTCGATCTTGCGAATTCCCCTCCCCAGTTGGCATCCACGAACGTTTCCACAGGTCGACGAAATGTTTTCGTCTTAGGATCAATTTCCAGTCCCATGTTAGCTGTGTCACGAACGTACCGCAGTAGGTGTTTTACCGCGTTCCAGTGCTCGTGTTGAGGAGACTTCAAGTACCTAGCTAGGAAGTTGACAGGGAAGGCGAGGTCTGGCCTAGTCCCTACTGCTAGGTAACTCACAGCTCCCACAATCTGGAGATACCGTTGGCTATTAAGGGGAGGTTGATCGGTGGGTGTTGTCAGGGACAGATTCGGTGGTACCGGCTTTGATGCGGAGAATGTCAATAGGAGGTCGATATGGTCCTTGACTATCTTGTTCGCTAGATCAGGCTGAGACAAAACGAAGTGATTAGTTGATCGTCGCTCAATGTTCACGCCTACAATGTTCCTCAAGTCATTCTCCCATCTTATCTCAATTTGTGAGCTGAGTTCTCTTTCTACTTCTCGTAACAAATCATCTGAGTCGCTAGCAACACAACCATCATCTACATGTAACCAAATCAAACATATCTTTCCTCCACGTCTCAATACATAGAAACTAGGATCAAATTGGCTAGGTTGGAAGCCTAGTGCTCGTAGCTTTTCCTCCATGAATTTCCACCAGCATCTAGCTCCTTGTTTTGTACCATACAAAGCTTTGAGTAATTTCATTGCCCTAGCCATTTTGAAACCCGGAGGTGCCTTCACCCAGACGTCGTGATCCATTGGGCTGTTTAGATAAGCCGCAATGACGTCAAAACCGTGCACCTTAAGTCCATAGTATGCCGCTATCACTAGCGCTACTCGAAGTGCTGCAAAAGGTGCAGTAGGTGCAAAGGTCTCCGTGAAGTCTACACCCTCAACCTGCGAGTAACCTTTCGCAACGAGTCGAGCTTTGAATCGCCCGTCTCGTTTGATCGTAAAAACCCACTTCAAGTCTGTGAGTTGTTGACCTTGCGGCGGGTCGCTCACTTCCCACACACCCATGTCAGTGAATCGTCGCAGTTCCTCAAGACATGCTTCTCTCCACTTATCAGCTTCGGGAAGTCGCATAGCTTCCGTATAAGATTTAGGAATAATCCCGTACGGCGATGATTGAGTCTCGATCATCTCAACTAATGCATCTTGTTCTTCAACGGCGACTTCACCATCGAAAGCACCAAGTCGCAGGGCATTCAAGACATATTTGAGACTGCCCTTTGACTTTTTGATATCTGAGGTAACTTCGGTTGGTGGTTCGGGTGTGTTGGTTGGTTGAGGCAGAGGAGGCCCATCAGAAAAAAATCGCGCAAGAGAAGAATCGACAGTTGCTGTAACCTTAGTCTCAGGGTCCCAGAACGTCCATCCCTTCTTACCGCGAGGGTAACCAATCATCAACATCAGTTTACCGCGAACATCAAGTTTGCGTCGTATTTCACATGGAATATGAACTACAGCAGGTTCCCCAAATGTTCGCAGGTAATCTAAATGAGGCTTCTTGTCAAACATCAGCTCGTAAGGTGTTTTGAGCCCAGTAGCAGCATTGGGTATCCGGTTATGTACATGAGACGCAGCTGCATGTGCGTACGCCCACATGTTCTCCCCAAAAATTTGCCGCATGCAACATAGTACGGCCCATGTCTGAGATGGTGCGAATAGACCGTTCAGCCTTGCCGTTCTGGTGATGTTCGTATCGGTTTGTCTGGTGGTTAATGATTCCACGTGCTGCACACCACGTGTTCATTGCCTTGAATGTATATTCACCAGCTCCATCACTTCGCAGTGATTTCACTTTCAATCCGGTTTGCCTTTCCATTCGTTCCACAAAATCGAAGAACATTTGCGGAACTTGGTCTCGTCGAGCTACACATGTTGATTCTGTGTATGTCGTGGCTACATCACGGAAGTTGATCATATAGCGAGCCCCATTGGCTGAGGCCTCATAAGGACCGGCGACGTCACTCACTATCAACTCTAGAGGCTTGAGTCGATTGCCAGATGACGTCAGGGTGATAGATCGTAGACTTTTGCTTGAAATACAGTCTAAGCATGTGAACGGTGTCTTGTCGATTTGTTCAGGAATGCCCGAGACAATACCATGCTTTATCATTCTTTGAATGTTACGCATACTGGTATGACCAAAACGGCAGTGCCATTTCAGTGCCTCGTTCACGGCAGGTGGCGCACCAGCGTTGGTCGCTCTCGTGGCCATGAGTGACGGTGGTTGTTGCACAATTTGGGACTTTGGTGCGAGTTTCAAACAGTCACGTGCCGAAGCTTGCATTACAGGAATGGTCCAACGACGCTCTTTCAAAACTGAGGAAACAACACCACCACAGGGAAACTTGATTTCCATTTTCCCATCCTCAGCTTTCCACGTTCCTCCCGAGTTAACTATTTGAGGAATTGATATGAGCGTACTGCTGGCCAGTGGTGAATAGTAGGTGTTGTGAATGGCGATCGGTTTCCCAGTGTCACTCTTGATATGCATCGTCCCCACATGCGTGACGTAGGCTTTAGGAGCCTTTGTCGCCACCGATATTGGGATCGGTCTGGATAAAGCGCGGATGTCAGTTAAGTGCGAGAGTTTTCCAGTCACCATGTGCGTTGCACCGGTATCACTCACGCCCTCGTCCTGAGCATCCCATACTTCGGTCAAAGTGCCCTCCGACGCCCACACGCCTTCGGGTAGGGGTCCTTCATCATCTTCAACTCCAGTCGCCTCGACGGCAAATGCCGTACCGTTTGCATCAATAAGATTTAAAGTGAAAGAACGGGGTTGAGTTGGAGTACTGCGACTAGTTGATTGGTGAGGTTGAGACGAAGCGACAGAAGGCGTAGTGGTGGCGGCACAAGGATATCTTGTAGGGCAGGTATCCGACCAATGTCCAACGTTGTGACAAATAAAGCATGGTGAATGTTGATTATACAAGGATGGATGAAATTTTGACGGGACACCAGGAGTTGGTGGTACGACCTTGGGAGTCAATTGTAAGGTTCTGGTTGGTGTTGACACACGATAGGGTGGTTGTGGAGCGTAATTGAACACGCCTCTACCGCGTCCAGGCGTAGTGAGAGCAGCTGGCCGATAGGTGTTTCCAGTATTGACAGCACCACGTCTCAACGGGTTTGAATTAAAAGCATTGAGATCCAACTGACTGAAGGCGGGTGCGATATTGTCGGTCTGGTGTATCTGCTTCTCAGCACGAATAGCTTCTTCAACTTCTCGAGCAGAGATTGGATTGGTTGGTGTGGCTCTCAAGCGTGCATTGAGGGTGTTGTTGACGTTCGTGAAAGCGTTCCCAAGACCAAGTTGGTATAAGACGCCAGTGACCACATCTTTATTCCATTCAAAACCAGCTCGTTCCAGGTCAGAGACCTTCTGGTCTATTTTTCGGAAGTAATCACCGATGTCTGACACGTCGTCGTACTTGACCTCCAACACTTCCTTCCACGTAGCCATGTGACCACTACGACTCGGAAAGAAGAACAGACTTCGGATGGTACGGATTGCGTCTTTGGCGGAACCAGACAGTCGGTGTTGAATCTCAAAAGGTACGACCAGTTCGATCATAGAGTAAATAACAGCATCGCCGTCAGGATCGATCGTCTTCATTCCATCTTTAGACAAGTAATCAGTCGTCTTGGTCACTCGATCCACACATCTACCAATCTTGAACTCCCATTTGGTATAATTAGAACCGTCGGCTTTGAGTGTGTCGACCGAGCCTTTAACGTACGCGGGCATAGACAGTTGGAATTTGTTGGATCTATAGTCGTCGACCGTCCCTTTTGTCGAGTGAGGTGGTGGCTCAGGAGGTGCCTTCGATGCAGGGTTCGTCGACATGTTGAATATGCGTCGGATTTCTCGTCAAGTGGCTTGAGAGTATGTACGTGGTAGAGGTTTAGTTTGGAAGATTAACCCGGCAGGAGCAGAAAATGGAACTATAGAGAGTTGGGGTAGGGGCTTGATAGAGCGATTTAAAAAATATGACGAGGTAGGAGAGGAATCGGTTATAGAAAGTAGAGAGAAACGAAAAATGAAATGTGATTTATTGATAATAGGTTCAGGATATAGTGATTCAGAAGTGGGGGGATATATCGATCCAGTGACAGGTTCAAGATCAGGGTGTTTTAATAATTCTGGGTGTTCTTTTAAAAATCTTGGTAATTCAATTTCACTAGTCTGCAGAACTTCTTCTTTTACTTTCGCTTTTTTCTTATATTGTCTCTTCTTTATTGGTTTCGGTGATCCGTAATCTCCTCTTCTTGTCTTCATGAAACTGTGGCTAACAGTCGTCGCTTACGCAGTGGCAGTGCGGGCTCATAACCTGTAGTGACAGAATCTCAGGTGAGCACTCTGTGGACTCTCTCGATGTTCCGGCTCCAATGGTATGGATTGCAGACATAGCACACAACACGTAAATAGACAGAGAAACAAGATAAGAGATGCTAACCTGTAGTGACAGAATCTCAGGTGAGCACTCTGTGGACTCTCTCGATGTTCCGGCTCCAATGGTGGAGAGCCGGAATATCGAGGAGTGGTGCGACTATAAGATAAGACCCCAAACCTAAGCCCCGAGCTTTGTCGTAGACGTGGCCCTGCTTCTCATGCCTAGCCACCTATGGCCTCTGGCCATAACACCTTCAACCGACTACTTAGTCTTGCTGCAGAAATCACACTGTGGGCAAATCGACGTCGCAAACATGTTTGCGACAGTTGGACGTTTCACACGGGTGAAACGTCACCTGTACATGTCGCAGCCAAAGACTGCGTGCGACAGGCGGCAGTCATTTGCGACAGGTCACTCTCGGCTGCGTCAAGTTTTTTTTTATGCTACACCTTCCATTTGTTTGCGACACCTCGTCACCGCATGCGACACCCCCAAACTCGGATTCCTCGATTTCCACCTCTCGCCCTTCCGATCACTAACATCATAATCATCGATCATGCCCCTCTGTACTTGCTCCACTTGCATCACTCGGACATGCATTGACCCAACGGGAAAGCGTCTTCGCGGCCAATGGACGACCCGTCAAACACAGCTGCAACACCATTGACGAGATATTCCATCCGAAGATGAGGATGTCCACTCCTCAGATGATACCGATCAACTTGCAAAGGCCGTTGAAGAGCAACTGAACATCAAAGAACCACCCAAACCTTGGTCAAATGAAGGCTCCCTCACCGGTAAGATCACCCTACCTTGCTCACTGAACCAGCCCGCTGACTTCAAGTCGATTATCTTTTGACTGCTTTCCTCCAGCTGTCATGCTAGTGTCTCTCTTTCTTGGATGGCTTCACATATACTGCGGGCTCAGCCGAAACGACTGTTGAAAAGCCCATGAATTCATCCTTCGAATTCTCTCTCTATGTCGTGACGAGGATAGATTGGAGCGGGATAATGGCCATGACCTGCAGAACCTTCAACATCATGTACCTAAAGACGTCCGAACGATCATCAAGCGTCTATCAGTCACTCCTCAACTTAACGAACACGTCTGCTGTCCTATCTGCTTCACCTTGTATGAAATCTCGAACGCACCTTGGACCTGTACTTATCTCAAATCTCCCAAAGCTCGAGTCTGTGGGGAAGACCTATTCATTCTGAAGACTATGTATTGTGGCATCCGAGACCAGGGGAAGATTCGAACCACACCAAGACAGTCTCTACAATTATCGCCATTTCAAATCGGAGTCCCTCGAAGTGTATATGTCACACAACCATTGGTGTCATGGCTTCGATGGTTTTTGAGCAAATCATCAATTGAACTGGACAACGAAAACTGGAAGCAGGAACTATCCGAAATGATGGAACCGGAGACGATCGACATTCAACAATCACCTGCTTCCTCTGGCCTCCGCTGGGTGGATACTGGAAGATCCGAAGTTTTGAATGAAGCACCCCCTCTGAACCTCGTTTTTTCTTTGTTCATCGATTGGTTCAACCCCCGCGGGAACCGTCAAGCCGGAAAACAACAGTCCCTTGGGGTCCTCGCTTACAACTGCCTAAACCTCAGCCCTCAAAGACGCAATCTAATTGGAAACACTTGCCTTGCTGGCATAACCCCCGGTCCCAATTCTCCCAACGTGTCGACTATAAACCATATCTTGGAAGGGACGGTGGATGAACTCATTGAGCTTGAATCCGGAATTCGAATCTGCACCCATCAGTATCCCAACGGCCGATTAGTGCGCATTAAATTACTGTCCTTGTTAGGTGACATAGTCGGTATGCATAAAGTTGCCGGCTATGCTTCTCATTCTGCTACTTTCTTTTGCTCCTGGTGCTGGGCGAATTTGAATGAGATTCAAGACATGAAGATCTGCAAGTTGAGAACGAAGTCTGAGGTCATCCGGACATCAAACAACTCCCGCCTTAAGAAGACACTCGCGGCGAAAGAAGACATCCTCAAAGAAACAGGAATCCGGTGGTCTGAAATGAATCGGCTATCGTATCGCGACCCGGTGCTCGATCTTCCTCTGGGAATCATGCACAATTGGTTCGAGGGGGTGCTCCACCAGCATTTCCGTTTTCGTTGGGGTTTTGTAATACCCTCAAAAGAAGAGAAAACTCGCAGCAACAAACGTCGAATGTCGGCGAGAGGTCCTGAGAACCCTTCGAAGCGGGTCTTGTACGAGGAGGGCGGCGGAAACGTTTTCGGAGACCCTGAGGATGAATCTGACGAAGAGGATGAGGTGGATGACGAGGAGCTGGAGTCAGGATGGAACGGTGGCCTTTTTACTGAGGACAACATCAAGTTTTTTCGAAACCGAATGCAAGATGCTGTTTTACCCTCAGGCATTACTCGACTTCCTTCAAATCTTGGCAAATCAAAACACGGTAAACTGAAAGCGGCCCAATGGCACAGCTTGTTTGCTTATGTCATCCCTCTGATCGTACTGGAAGTTTTCGTGACTGATGTTGAAAACATCCCCGTGGATTCAAACCGAGGGAAAATTTTATTGAACATATCCGATTTATGTCAGTGCACAAATATCGTTTGCGCCAAGGCAGTTTCAGAAACCGATTCAGAAAAGTTTGAGTTTTTTACCGTCGATATCACAAAACTTCAAAGGTCATCTTTGGTAATCTAAATGTCGTCCCGAATCACCACTACACGCTCCATATCCCAGATATGATGAGGCGCTGGGGGCCTCTGAGTCAAGTAGCTGAATTTTCTGGCGAAAGATTAGTGGGTCATCTACAAAACATTCAGACAAACACTCACCTGGGTAAGTTTCTCAATATTGAATTGATCGTGATTGTTGTAGATATATCTGATACTGAAACATTATATCTCTGTACTCGCAGCGGAAATGGACAAAACAATTTCCCGTCGCTTCGGTCAGCTCCAAAGACTGATGGCGGATCATCCAATCTCCGTCGACACTGAAAGTCTCGAGGAAGGCGTGGAAATCTTCAAAACAAAGCGTAATGAGATCGAGCTGAAAGACAACGATTACGAGGCGCTACTGGCGTTAATTAGGGTGACCATGCCAGACGCTCGTCACCATCGGGAACTTCCCCATCCTCCAATGGCTCGAGTACTACATTCTTACGCAACACCTCAACCTTCTTGGAAAGTATCCCAGTATGTATCGGTGTCTGTGCTCAAACCAAACAACTGCATCAAGTATAAAGAAGGGGGTAAGTCGTGTTACGGAATCGTTTGCCAAATTTATCAATTTAGAAACCCTGTCAACGTGAAACAAGTCCAGTTTCTTATCAACCCTATTAAAAATATGTATCCCAAAGATTCCTCATCCCCTTCCCATCTATTCCGCTACAAACTTTTTCTACTAAAAACTGTTGTAGGTCAAGTCCTCGACTCCTCCGTATTTGTATCACCCACGAAAGTCACTGCCGTGGCTGCTTACCGGCTTTTACCAAATGACACTTGGGGTATACCAGAAGGAGGTATTATCTTACGCCCGTGTGATCACAAGTCCGTGCTTGAAGAATAGTTTGTATTCACTTGACTTAGAGTAATTTTGACTCTCTTTCTCTCACGTTGTTGTCTGAAATTCTAATATCTCATTTTATAAAGTTGTAGATCACCTAGTTTCTCAAACTAGATCGAATGAATGTTTCATATTACACACGTTGTAGAACTCCTACGCAGTGTAGCGTAGGCTGAGCCGGAGAAGGTAAGAATCACCGCCTAGAAGAACGGATGAAACTACGGTGCTGCAAAGCTGCCTTCAACCTAAGAAATTCTACGAAAAAATTACGTAGGACAATTCTTAACACTTCCGCCGTTACAAGTTTCCCGTAAACCTAATTTACCCCAAAGAAGGATATTCACACTTTCTAAACCCTATTTATCCCGCCCACAACTGAGCCACACACAAAAATTTAAAAAAACAATTTAAAAAAAACACAACTTGGCCTGGAATTGAACCCAGGTTCAGTCCTTTCCCCTTGGCCCTGATCTGGCCCTGTACTCGAGTAGATAGAACACAAAATAAAAAAATTAAAATTAAAATAACACAACCCTCCTTCCACTCGACTTCAACTTCAACAACTTCCTTAACACACAACGAATCAATTCTTCAATGTAAGTCTTTCTTTTCTTCCTTTTACTTGACTTTTAAACTAATAGCTAACTAATCTAAAAAAACTCGCTCTTTCTTCTTTATCCTTTATGAATAGGATAATCGAGTTGAACACCAACACACTACACTATCGATCAAAACACAAAAAAAAAACACTTCGATCGACTTGCTTCGATCCTCTACACAATGCCACGAGCTCCTTCAACACCAACAACACCCCCCTTTTATACCTTTCCACCTACCCAAACCACAACTTAGCCTCAAGACTTTCCTTCTCTTCGCTCCGACCGATTCCGACCGATCTCTTGGCTTATTCCCACACTAAGGATCTTATCTCAACTCGATTCTTTCCTCTTTCTCATGGTATGTTTGTTTCCTTCTGCTTTCTTTTCTCATTCTATCTTTCTTTTCTACTACTGATGACATCATTTGTCTCTTCTTTCCTTCTATCTAGGTTATCACTCCCTTCTTTCCCACACTAACTCCTTCCTTCAACTACTTATCATTTTCGATTTCGACTTTTTTTTTTTTCTTTCCAGGTATGTTCCTTTCTTCTTTTCTTTTCTTCTCCTTGTTCATTCCCTTTTTTCTCATGCTAACTGACTCTAACTCCTTCCATTCAACTGCATCATCAATTTCGATTTCGATTTTTTTTCAATTTGATCTCTTTTCAATTGATCTTGTGATTCAACCTCTGACCAAAAAACAACTAATAAGTTCTAATTCATTTTTCTTTCTCCTTCCAACTGCTTGACATAATTACATAATACTAATTGCTGGTTTTATTTATTGATTTAATTGACTTGTCTCTTGGCTGTTTGAGAATGTTCCAGATTGTTCAATCAACTCATTCAAATCGATTTCAGTTCATTGTTATATGTTTCTTAATCTAGATCAATATCAATGAATGGTAAGAGATAATATGTAGGCTTTTCAAATTTGAAATTGCTTTTTTTTGATTTCTTGTAAGTTAGATTGTGGCTTGTGTTTTCAAGCATTTCTCTTTTGTTGATTTAATTATGTTTGTTGTATATTTGTTGTAAGAAGATAAAGATGACTTAATGCAATGAAATTTGTTAATAATAATATTGACCAAAAAAAACTAAGGAGCCATAGTGAGATCTTGATGAGTTTCCTTTTTACTTGTATATGTAGTAGATATGTGCTTTGCTTTTAGCATGACAATGAGTGAGTTAAATAAAAGATTTTGATAAAGGTTTTGATTTCCAAGTGAAAAGATGAGATGACAGATGTGTGGTATATCTTTGTTGGATTTGATTTCCACATCCTCCCCCAACTTCTACGCTGTCCTCAGCGCTGCCGCTGATTCTTGAAATGAATATGTATGCAAATTTGTGAAAACTATGTGCGCCTTGAAAAAATAATTGATGACCACCTCCCCCAACTGAGATAAAAAATTGCCGCAATTGTGATACACCTCCCCAACTTAAATGAAAAACCACCACTGTAAGTTCTAATTTTATTTATCTCTAACTAAAATATAACATTGTTCCCATTGCACTTATCCGTAAAACTTCATCAACTTCCTTGTAAAATTCATAACCGTAACTTTTGAGATATTTTGATAATATTTTTCTTATTCCCGTAATCCAAACAATAATCTTAACAAACTCCAAGTAACCTCTATTCTAGGCCTTGACAATAAATTCACATGCACCAGGTTCCGTCCTGTATCTACCTTGTACTAATTCGCAAGAAATATATGTATCTATGTATCTTTCAAAATGTAACATTATAATTGTAATCCAAAAGTTGTGTTGCTCCGCCAGATCCACACTCCGTGTAAATGAAATATTAAGTCGTTAACTCGTAAAACACAAAATCTTCCGTAATAGTAATCATAAATGTTGTTGTAATGCTATCCGTCCTGCTACCAATCCAACACCCTCAACACTCCAATCCCCGTAAAAAAATAAAGAAAAGATTTGCTGTAGTAGTAACCATTTTATATGTAATTTTATTGTAATTTTGTTGCCGCTTTGATTGTTTTGTTCTTGATAATTTGCAGCCTCTCCCCAAACCCCCTACTACAGTCTTAAGTTTGATGTAATTTGATTTGTTTTGATTTAATAACTTTGATTTAATAAAATTTGTAACACTATATCCTAATACCAGCCAGCTAATCCACCATCCTCGACTACCAATCCTGTCCCCGTAGAAAAGAAAAAATTGAAAAAGAGAAACATAACCCGCACCCCGTCAAACCATTTTGATAGTAGAAGTGTTGTGATTTAAAAAGGTTCTACGTGAATTTATTTTGATGTAATATTGAATGTAACTTATTTGAATAATTGATATTTGATTGATTCATTTTATTTTACTTCTTGTAATTTGATTTGATTGTATGTAATTTAATTCTGATTCATTTTGACTTTCCGTACCCGCCATCTATCCTCCACCCTCGTTAACCTATACCAAACACCACCGGAAAAAATAAAAGAAACTGATAAAGAGAAACTTGATTTAAAATGACCATAACTAAAGAAACAAAGAGAAAATTGTGAAAATTGTTTATAGCAGTAATCCATTTTGTTTTAATTGTTAAAGTTGATTTATTTAAATTTGTAACTTGTACCCATCCCGTGCCCCCTGCTATTGATTGATTTAATTTGAATTATATGAAAAAAAAGAGAAGAAAGAAAGAAAGAAAATTGATTTTAAGTAGTATTCCAAATTCAGCTTGATTGATTGAATGTTGAATTTTGGTTTGATGATTGTTATGCCCGCCCCGTACCCACTACTTTTGTTGTAATTTTGATAACTATCCATCCTGCCAACATCCACCATCCTCAACTATCCTATCCCACACCGCCAAAGATAAAGAGAAAGTGATAATAAGAAAATCCACCGAACTACGCCCGCTTTAACACTAAATTCACCAATCCCATACAAATACAGTCCACCTTTAAAGAGAAACAAAGACAAAAGAAAACACCCCAACTTATACACACAAAACCAACACAAAAGAGAAAAAACTTTGAAGAGAATTATTTTTATTTATCTTATCCTGAACTTCCCGCACTTGCTGATTCCTCCTCTTGAAAATCTTCCTGCACTGAAACCTCTGAAACCCCTCTCGGAAAAAATCTCTTGATATGTTCTGCTGCCACTCGCCTGCTTAACACTGTCCCGTCCAATTCTTCCAAAATATAAGATCCTCCCGGATATTGTTCCTTCACCCTATAAGGCCCATTCCACCTATCCTTAAATAGTTTCCCCCATTGAGATTCCAAACTTTTGTTATACACCAAGACTAAATCCCCAGCCTCCAAAGCACCTCTTAACCTATGTGAATTCTTCTTATCCCAATATATAATACCCTCCGTCCTTGCCTTCATCATCCTGTCATAAGCCTTCTTTAACATTTCATCCCTCTGTTCCAACTGCTCCACTCTTGCCATTAACAACTCCTCTCTGGTAGTAACTTTATCCCAATCCACTCCAAGAAAAGTCCCCGCCTCGACGTCCACTGGTAAGATCGCTTTCTGATTGAAAAGAACTTCATAAGGTGAGAAACCAGTTGTCCTCTTAGTGGAAATCCTGTCTGAAAATAACACTAAAGGTAATTTCTCCGCCCACTTCCTTCCATCTTCACCACACATTTTCACCAAGGTATTCTTCAACGGTTGGTGTCCCCGCTCTACCATTCCCTCACCTTGCGGCCAATAAGCAGTAGCCTCCCCCAACTTTGATCCTGATAAACTCACTGCCTCTCTTAATTCTCCCTTAAATTCTGGCCCTCCATCTACTGTAAAGCACTTCACCGCCCCATACCTCCAAATCCACTCTTTCAAGATAAAATCCGCCACCGCCTTTGAAGTTAACTTTTGTAAAGGTTTTGCTTCAACCCATCCTGAAAGATCATCTCTTGCCACAATCAAGTACTTATATTTACTAGTCTTAATATGCACAGCATCTAGACTGACCCTTCCAAACACCGTAGCCTCCCCCGTAGCATGTCCTCTTTCCTTTTGAGTATTAGGACTCCTTCTTTGACACGCTTCACAAGACATCACCCATCTTCTCACGTCTTCCTTCATCTCCGGCCACCAAAACCTAACTAAGCATCTTCTATAAGTTTCTTCTACACCTCTATGTCCCATCTCTTCATGTAATCTTTGTAACACTATCTCTTGACCTTCTTTTCTTGACACTACTAATCTTCCGCAAGGTATTCCCCTCTTCTTTAATCTTCCCCGCTCCATGAAGAAAGTCTTTGACCTATGTTGTATCCATTGAAAATCTTCATCGGAACAATTTGGAGGTCTATGAAAACCTTTTAGATATTCTTCAAGTGTCGCCCATAAACCTTCTTGAGTCCAAGGTATCATTTCATTATCATTATCAATAGTAGAAACTGGGAAACCCTCATGTGGAGTAATATCATC